ATTGTGATGCATCGTATGTGGGACAGACCAAAAGAAAATTGATTACTAGAACTAAAGAGCACCGCTCGGATATCAATAAGACTTCCGGTTCTCTCTCAGTCGTGTCCCTTCATAGACTGGAGGATCACGAATTTGATTGGGAGAACGTTGCCATTCTAGAAAAAGAACCGAGATTTAGAAAGAGACTGATTGCAGAGATGTTGCGTATTTGCAGTCAGTCTCATAGCATCAACATTCAGAGTGATACTGAGTTTTTGGATAGGATATATTTGCCGATTATTAAAAAGTTTTCACATTGAATTTTTTGGAATTGTTGTTCTGTTTAAATTTTCTCTTTTTGAAGTCGTATTCCTTCTTCCCTCCCCCCCCACCCTTTTTCCATGTAGTGGGCTCTCGCTTGCCTCTCTTCTCGATCAAGTCTATCAGTTTAACGCTATCAACAAGGACGTGTGTATTGTGCCGGTATCGCTCTCCCTTCGAAGTAATTGTTTCATTATTCTCTGTTATTTTTGAGACAGGGTATGAATTTTTTATTGGTTCTTTATCTTGTCACACTATTCATTTGCATTATTGCTGTTCTGACATCGCAACTGTCTATAACAGTTTTTTCATTATATTAGTAGTCTCGTCTCATTAATCGGGTAGTATTTTGTTATAATTTAATATAATTTAATTGTGTTTATGAGCTCATTTCCGTCTGGTTTTTTTTATATAGATGTCTTGAATTATCCTAACGCATTGTTGCCCACTGCATCATTTGGCCTGTCATGGACCTACGCATCTTTGACGGTTGTTTATCTTTGAGATGCATGTTGGACTCAAGGCGGGATTCTTTCTGGATTGAATTTTTTCATCGAGGGGATCATGGCGTTCGTTGAGGGCATAGCGAGATCGTTGCGGTGCGGATTTGCGTATCCGCTTATTTGCGTTGTTGCGTTTTGCTTGCCGCATTTAAATATCATCCGTTAAGTTGCGAGAACATATCGACTTTTTTGACTTCTCAATGTTTATTATTATTTATTATTGTTTGCGTCGTTTGATAGTTCACTTCATTTGAATTTACATCATTTATTATTTTTAGTCTTTATATTTTTTATTTTTATTTTGATTACTGACATTGATAAGGACCTGAAGATGGTCGAAACGCGCGTATGTCGTTATTATAATAAACGGAATATGATAGATTAGAACATTTCTGTGATAACCGTTTTATTTTTATTTTTCGCAACCAGTCATCTCTGCGTTGGTCCTTTAAGCCTTTTATTTATATTTTTGATTGATTTATCTTGTGGACCTTTGTATTATTATTTTTAATACTATAATTAAGTACCTTTTATTAAGTACTTTTTGAGTTATAAGGCTTGAAATAATTTCTTAATTTTACATAAACCATAAAATTTCTAGTAAACCATTCATTTTGATTATCTTACCTTCATACTTTATGTACAAAATAATGAGAGGAATCAATTGGTGTAAAGAAAACATACAGTTGTTTTTAAGAAAAAATATAGAATTGTTAATTGCAAATTACATTATTTTTTTCTTAGAAACAACTATGTGTTTTCTTTACACCAATTGATTCCTCTCATTATTTGTACATAAAAGTATGAAGGTAAGATAATCGAAAAATGAATGGTTTACTAGATACTTTATGGTTCATGTAAAATTAAGAAATTATTTCAAGCCTTATAACTCAAAAAGTACTTAATAAAAAGGTACTTAATTATAGTGTTTTGGAAAGCTCTCGAGATAAGCTACAGGAATATGCAATAAAAAATAGGGGTTCCCATTTAAGATTTCAAACTTGCCCCCCCTCCCGCCCAGGGGAGGGGTGGGGGGGCTGATTTTAACGTCATTGTACGTTCCCCTCGAAATGACGAAATTTTGATTCTAACCATTTTTTCGTAGTGTGCTTATTTTTCGAGTTATTTGGCTGCCTAAGTTAAAATGGGTCATCCTGTATATATATATATATATATATATATATATATATATATAATATATATTATAAGCCTTTTATATTATATAATTTATTTTTTATCTATGTATTTTAATTTTTCAATAGAATAAACATTAGAGCAAATAAAATGTGAATGAAGCTGTTACAAGTCCCTCTATTAGTCTATGATGTTTTGTCAGATTATTTTGTCACCAGAGTATACGAACAAAATTAGAGGACTAAGGGACGGAAGTGGAGGAGACACATCGAGGGAGGCCAGGCACCAAGAATATCAGGTAGGAAGGAGCCGCAGACATGAGGTCTAGGGCGCGAGCGAAAACATGAGAGAGGGCCAGCTGAGGAGAGACTCGGGGAGCGAGTGCGGAAATACAATGCTACTAACAATCAAAAGATAGGATAAAGTTAAAGCCGAAAAGAGATCTGAGCCTTAGAGAGGAGAAAAAGATATGGATAGTAATAAAACGAGTAAGTACACGAGAGGACCGAGAGGAATAGGACACAAATAAATTTATTAATACGAGAAACAATTTTTTAACTTTTCTACTTACTTATATCACAAAATTACTCTATAGATCTTGATACTTTATATATATATTATCTTCCATCACCACACTTAAAATATATAATATAACAATAATTAATAAATACTAATAGGGCTCCAAAGCACGACTTTCAAATGTAATATATGCTTACTTAGACTATCTCATGCTTAACATATATACTGGACTTTCTTCTTTTTATATAATAACACCTAAGTTCATACATTTAAACAATATGCTGCAATATAGACACTGTACGTAGCTGACTCGACCAATCATGGGCCTCCATATGCCGTATAAATATAAATTATATGACTAACTAGCTTGACTTTACAGAGACACATATTATACGAAAACCTTAATAAAACACATATAGTAACATACCTAGTTTTACGATTAGCCTTACAACAGGAACACACATGACGTTTAAGCAGAAACGCACGGAATCACCCCACTAAACATTATAATTATATGAGAATATGTTATTACTAGAGCTGATGTGTTAAACGTTATAAACAAAACATCTGTGTGTCTGTTATCTTAATGCTAGATCGATCTGTGATTATTTGTATGCAGTAAGTGTGTGTGTGTAGGCTAGTGAAGACTGTCTTGAAATGATCACTAAAACTCTGTAAGATCGACCTGGATTGATGATGTGTGTTGTGGTTAAATGATAGTGGTAGTTGTAGTAGGGTGAATGATTGATGATGTGTAATAGATGGTTGTTGAGTTAGTGTTGTCAGTCTGTTACGTGAGCTTCGTTCTAAAGCGCAGAACACGAGCGTATCACAATTCTAAATAATATCACCTAAATAGAACACTGAGACTGCCATGTGAGGAATGATTAGCTCGGTTACTAATTGAAGAGGCGTCGTGTGAGGAGAGACGATATACGCCCACACATATCTTTAAATAATCTACATTATCACAATCTGATGTCTCAAATTGTAGGAATGAAAAAATTAATCCTATATTTATATATAATTTGAATTGTATGATCGGAAAAAGTTCGTGGCAATATACATATTCATATTATTCATTAATTAACGCCAGTATATAATGTTATTATCATATAATATTGTATATATATATATATATATAGTATATAAATTATTATAACACAGTATATTAAATGTATATATTATAATTTAATGATATATTGTTGTTCATCGATGGAAACACGGTTGTGATGTGTTACGTTCAAACAGTGAGTATATAAGAAGTTATTACTATATCTATCATCATGGCTGTATGGTGAGCGGCATACTCACCTCAATGTGTTGAGATGCAGTTAGTCTCCCTTAAATAGTTTGGTATTTCTGACCGTATTTATTCACCACCTAGCAAACGCAACTGCCTTGCCTGTAGATGTACAACTCTATAATACATTGGAGGCGGTCCACTCTACCTTTCTTTTCCACTTATATTCACCTCTTATGTCTTTCTTTCTTGATTAGCAGGGGCATTTTTCTAACTCGTTTTTCTTATCTTTCGTCGCTGTCATTCTTCGGGTTGGTCGTCGGTGTCACGGTTTGTGCTGTGTCAGTCACGGTTGTTGAGAAGTTATTTTACCGTGGGTGGAGTTGGTCTACTTCCTAGTCGTGGATGTGGGAGATTCCGCCATGTGTTGATTGCAGTTGGTCTCCTTAACGTTTGTATTCGACGATTGCGTAGACCCACCTGCAGACGCAGACTCTTGCCGTAACTGGGAGGACTAATAATATTCGGCGGTCAATAATTTAGAAATTCATAATGCTATAACATCCTCTCGCATATTCTTTATGGTGACTATCAGTGTGTATGCAAGCGAGATTGACGAATTATTCCAATTAAATAAACTAATACTTAGTTTCAGAAACCTCTCTACTAGATGTGTGACGAGTAAGGGCATTAAAATTGAATGTATAGTGCCGAGCCAACTATAATATATCAGCTAATATGAGATGATAATTCGGAAGGACCAGGCAAAATTGCGCAGAGGGAAGGTTCAGCACTAAAGTCAGATATCCGTATTGTAAATCTGTTCGTTTGAAGAATCTCCCGATCGACCGTTGCGGAGAGTTCATATGCCAACACAAACACAAATGGAAATATTTCTGCTCGTTAGATCGCTCCGTTGGACGGGAGAAATTTCCTCCAACAGCGAACAAGGAGATTGCGGTCGATTTCGAAACCCATCCATGCTGTCCGATATGATGTTCTCTAGTTAGCAGAACGAAGAGGATCAATGTTTCTCTGGAAATCGCGTCTGAGTATCGGAGATAACCGACAACGCATCAACAAGTGTGTGCGTCCTGCCTCCTCATCGTCTTCATTACAACGTGTAAACGATGCTATCATCCGTGCACCCTATAGATCGTGTAGTCCATATCATGAAAGTGCCTATGGATTACCAAAGATACATAAGAAAGATTGTCCGTTACGTGTCATCGTTTCTTGCGTTAACAGCCCTTTATATGCTTTGGCATCCTTTCTTCATGATATTCTTTGTAAGAACTTACCGAAACCTAAGAGCCATGTTGAGAATAGTTTCGAGTTGGTTAAAGGACTTAATAATTTTTATTTGGATATGGACGATTATGACTTGATCTCATTGGATGTTGTGAGTCTTTTCACCAATGTTCCGCTGGATTTGGTGGTTGGCGGGATTGGGAAACGATGGCATTTTATTAATAACAAAACCAATATCCCGTACAGCGAATTTATCATAGCGTTAAAATTGGTTATGGATTCCACTTATTTTGGTTTTGATCGGGTCATTTATAAGCAAAGTTTTGGCACTCCGATGAGCTCCCCCCTCTCCCCGATTTTGGCGAACATTATTATGTCGGATCTTGAGGAGAGAGCAGTTGCTTCCCTTCCTGTTTCCCTTCCGTTTTATATACGGTATGTGGATGACATTGTTCTTGCTGCGCCTAGAGATTTCATCCAGCATATCTTCAAAGTGTTCAATTCGCTCCACAACAGATTGAAATTTACCATCGAATATTCGGATAATAATTGTATAAATTTCTTGGACACAACCATGATTGTTAACAATAATTGTATTGAGTTCGATTGGTATAGGAAACCGACTTTTTCAGGGAGATTCCTCTCTTATTTCTCATATCATCCTTTATCACATAAAAAAGGTGTTATTATCGGTCTGACGGACAGGATTTTTAAACTCTCACACCCACGGTATCATAACGCTAATTTTTCTTTTATGATATCAACTTTATTGAGGAACGGTTATCCTGTACAATTCATTTTTCGAACCATTAATCAAAGACTCAAATTTTTAATTTCTGCAAGGAGTGATGACGTCAACATACTTCCTCAATCCCCCCTTTCTCCTACTCCCTCCCCCTCCTTCTTCACCATCCCGTTTTCTTCCGGTTTCCCTAAGAATTTCATCTCCAACTTAAAGAACTATGTGAACAAAAGATTGGCTTTTTCAGTTAATAACAAATTGAATTCTCTTATTAGATTGCATAAAGATCCGTTACCAAGATTCAGCCGCTCGAATGTTGTTTACAGGATTAATTGTCGGGATTGTGATGCATCGTATGTGGGACAGACCAAAAGAAAATTGATTACTAGAACTAAAGAGCACCGCTCGGATATCAATAAGACTTCCGGTTCTCTCTCAGTCGTGTCCCTTCATAGACTGGAGGATCACGAATTTGATTGGGAGAACGTTGCCATTCTAGAAAAAGAACCGAGATTTAGAAAGAGACTGATTGCAGAGATGTTGCGTATTTGCAGTCAGTCTCATAGCATCAACATTCAGAGTGATACTGAGTTTTTGGATAGGATATATTTGCCGATTATTAAAAAGTTTTCACATTGAATTTTTTGGAATTGTTGTTCTGTTTAAATTTTCTCTTTTTGAAGTCGTATTCCTTCTTCCCTCCCCCCCCCACCCTTTTTCCATGTAGTGGGCTCTCGCTTGCCTCTCTTCTCGATCAAGTCTATCAGTTTAACGCTATCAACAAGGACGTGTGTATTGTGCCGGTATCGCTCTCCCTTCGAAGTAATTGTTTCATTATTCTCTGTTATTTTTGAGACAGGGTATGAATTTTTTATTGGTTCTTTATCTTGTCACACTATTCATTTGCATTATTGCTGTTCTGACATCGCAACTGTCTATAACAGTTTTTTCATTATATTAGTAGTCTCGTCTCATTAATCGGGTAGTATTTTGTTATAATTTAATATAATTTAATTGTGTTTATGAGCTCATTTCCGTCTGGTTTTTTTTATATAGATGTCTTGAATTATCCTAACGCATTGTTGCCCACTGCATCATTTGGCCTGTCATGGACCTACGCATCTTTGACGGTTGTTTATCTTTGAGATGCATGTTGGACTCAAGGCGGGATTCTTTCTGGATTGAATTTTTTCATCGAGGGGATCATGGCGTTCGTTGAGGGCATAGCGAGATCGTTGCGGTGCGGATTTGCGTATCCGCTTATTTGCGTTGTTGCGTTTTGCTTGCCGCATTTAAATATCATCCGTTAAGTTGCGAGAACATATCGACTTTTTTGACTTCTCAATGTTTTATTATTATTTATTATTGTTTGCGTCGTTTGATAGTTCACTTCATTTGAATTTACATCATTTATTATTTTTAGTCTTTATATTTTTTATTTTTATTTTGATTACTGACATTGATAAGGACCTGAAGATGGTCGAAACGCGCGTATGTCGTTATTATAATAAACGGAATATGATAGATTAGAACATTTCTGTGATAACCGTTTTATTTTTATTTTTCGCAACCAGTCATCTCTGCGTTGGTCCTTTAAGCCTTTTATTTATATTTTTGATTGATTTATCTTGTGGACCTTTGTATTATTATTTTTAATACTATAATTAAGTACCTTTTTATTAAGTACTTTTTGAGTTATAAGGCTTGAAATAATTTCTTAATTTTACATAAACCATAAAATTTCTAGTAAACCATTCATTTTTCGATTATCTTACCTTCATACTTTTATGTACAAAATAATGAGAGGAATCAATTGGTGTAAAGAAAACATACAGTTGTTTTTAAGAAAAAATATAGAATTGTTAATTGCAAATTACATATTTTTTCTTAGAAACAACTATGTGTTTTCTTTACACCAATTGATTCCTCTCATTATTTTGTACATAAAAGTATGAAGGTAAGATAATCGAAAAATGAATGGTTTACTAGATACTTTATGGTTCATGTAAAATTAAGAAATTATTTCAAGCCTTATAACTCAAAAAGTACTTAATAAAAAGGTACTTAATTATAGTGTTTTGGAAAGCTCTCGAGATAAGCTACAGGAATATGCAATAAAAAATAGGGGTTCCCATTTAAGATTTCAAACTTGCCCCCCCTCACCGCCCAGGGGGAGGGGTGGGGGGGCTGATTTTAACGTCATTGTCCCCCTCGAAATGACGAAATTTTGATTCTAATCATTTTTTCGTAGTGTGCTTATTTTTCGAGTTATTTGGCTGCCTAAGTTAAAATGGGTCACCCTGTATAATTGGATAAATAAAATTTAATATAAAAAAATAATTTACCATTTTGCGCCTGTTGTTCCTTCTCTTCTTGCTGCTGCTGCTCCTGCTGCTGTTGTTACTGTTGTTGCTGTTGATGCTGCTGCTGCTGCTGCTGTATATACAATTGCAGCTGCTGGTGGAACAATTGTTGTTGATGCAACATTTGTTGCATCAACTGCCGCATATCTGGCTCTTGGAGAGCGAACGCGCCCATTTCTGCATTGATTTCCTCTAAAATTTAGAAAAATTTAAAAGATGAGTTTCTTAGTATTTTTTTATACAGTAAAACATTTTGTGTTAAATTTAATATATTTCACATGTTCCAATTTATTCACTCTAATTTTAATGTTAATTTAAGAGAAGGCAAATATGTAAATAAATAACAAGTAATATGTAAAAAATTATCGCAAAAATGTAACATTTGAACGTTATTGTGTTGTTTTTAACTCTTAGAAACGGTGAATATTAACTCAATGTAGAAAAGTCAAAATAACACAACGACAATATGTTACATTAACATAAAAGTATGTTAAAAATTTAACACAAAAATTTCTACACAAGAAAAATCTACAGAAATACAAAATGTTTTTTACCTTGTACAAATATATAATGATTTACCTACGAGCCATTATGTTGACGTTCAGTTCAAATTCGTTTATCGCCGTTCTTTCGTGTACTGAGAATGAGGCACACTCGGCATTTGTTTATATACGTGCCTTGTGAAACCTTGGTGTTCAAGAGACTATCACGATCCCGATTGTGAGTTATTATTTAAAATTTTTATATATCTTTATCCTTTTGTCTTTATCTTCTTTTATTCACTCTTCTTTAATTCTTTGTTTCTGCTTATTTTTTATTTCATAATGTGCGATGAATTAAAAAAAAAATCTAAGCGAAGCTTTTCAGAGTATTGGCTCAATGATGAGCGTATTAATTGTTGGATACGTAAAGCACCTTTTAATGAAAGCTTATATCATTGCACAATATGCAATAAAAATATTTCGTGCAATACGCATGTTTTGAGACATGCGAATTCTGCGACTCATAAAAATAATATTAAAGAAAATAATTCATCTCTATGCACTGATGAAAATAATAATAAAAATGTAGATAAAAAAATATCCGAAAAATACAAGTTTCAACAACAGTGGCTAGAGATAGAATTATTTAAGCCATGGTTGCAAAAAATATCACACGATAGAAATTCATTTTTTTGTTTATTTTGCAATAAATCTATGAAAGCGGATTTATCCAAAATATATCGTCACGCAGAATCCAAAGTACATTTAGAAATATATAAAATTAAAACAGAAACAAAGAATATAACAAACGAAAACGTAGCAAATAATTCACTTTCGTTTCGTCAAACGGCAAAAGAAATCCTCAGTTTTTTCCAACATATAGGAGAAGATCCTAATGTGTTAAAAAGCATGAGCATGAGCCGAACAAAATGTAAAAACAATATTACAAATGTTTTGTGCCCGGTCGAAACAGATCGTGTCGTCAATAAGCTTCAAAATACAAAATTTACAATTTTTATTGACGAAACATATGATGTAACAAATAATAAATGGATGACTTTTCTTGTTCGATACGTTGATCCAGAGACATTAGATATTTGCTCACAATTAGTCAAATTAATCGATATTGATACCAAAGATTCAAGCGTAGAAAAGTTGTTTGAGGCATTTAAATGTGAAATGTGGAAATTACAAATACCGTTTTTAAATATCGTAGCCTTATCATACGATAATGCATCTGTTATGACAGGAAAACATTTATCGTATCAAAAAAAATTGGAAAAAATGTGTCCACATTTATTAACATTTTCATGCCCATGCCATTCTTCTGCATTAGCAGCGCATGCGGCCTGTTCTAAAATGCCTTCATATTGCAAGGAATTTCTAAAAAAAATTGCTACTTATCTCAATAGCAGTCCAAAATGTACAGCTATTTTTCGTGAATTTTGTGAATGTTTTCAAGAAACAAATCGCAAAATAT